TGCAATATTTCTTACTTGTGTGCGGAAGGAATGACAAGTTTTCATTCAGACATTTAATCCTTTGGATTTTCCGCTCTCACCTACACATATGTGCGGATTCTATTTTGGACATTAAACGACAATGCTTTTGCGCAAATTTAATGCGTTGTACTGGCATTTGTTAGCATGTAAAAGACATGTGTCTGTTAGGATTATTTTCAATTTTAGGGCACAGGCGCGTTGTAGAGGTCAATAATTCTTGACATGTTGATGAAAATAGAATTCCTTTATCAAATAGAAGGCGCGTGTTTAAATTTGATCACTACCACACAGCTTGCACATCGCGTTCATCGTAACCGATTGAAGTCTCGTAACTGGAAGTGTCGTTTAAGGCTACTTAGGCGGACTCACAGTGTCTTTCATATTTGCAATTTCCCTGACTTCTCCTAGTTAAATTATGGTTAAACCATAAGCGAGGCAATGTGATCTCTGACAGATCCTTGACAGATAAACAGGCCGTTTTCGCGCTTGATGAACTCCACAAAATATGACATTTAGCAAGAATTAATACACACCTAATAATTTGCAGCAGGAATATGTTTGTCAAATATCCTTTATGAACTGTAAAATGTGTAGCCATTGGTGTCCTGTGGTCTGCATAAAAAAAGTTTTTGAGAGAAGTTTGATTACACTCATAACACTTTTCCCATCAATATAGAACGAGTCTTAGCAATGACATATGACAGTTCGACCATCGGTTTCGATGATGTCCACCGGGTGCCCCACAGTTGCAGCAGCAATGGGAGCAGGGACGGTGACTTACGCAGGGGTTTATAGTGCCGGTAGACTTGCGTAGCATCTACCTGCACTCTCTCCTCCTCCCCCGCCCGAGCCCGGTGTCAAGACAGTGTCAAGAAGACCGGAGACGAGAGAGGCCGCAGGTGGATGGCTCGGACGGATCCTCACCTGGGCGTTCCACCACACCCCCTGGCCTACACAACAAATAACCAGGATTTCAACCAACACAAGAGAGATTTGGAGGCTGGCACGACCGAAGCCGCACCTGGGCGTGCCGCCAACGCCTGGCTCGGATCCCACACTGTGATGGGAGTGCCATAAAGGCCACATTAAAAAGGAGTCATTGCAGCCTGACTCTCAGACCGCCTCCGGTCTAGGAGGAGGTCCAAGGTACTCCGTCAGTTGGCAACCTTCCAAGCCACGGCTTTTAGCGCACCGTGATAGCTTCAAGCGCGTCAGATTGTTTATAGTGAGGAGAAAGTGCGCTGAGTCGTCGACCTCACTCTCCCTTCCCACTCCCACACCCCAGCCACTGTCAGCAGACTGGAGTGGGGAATGGGCGCGGTGGCTGTCATGGTCGACTGACCATGACTGCGCGCGCCACAGCACGACCTGGCCCCCCATACACACAAAACCAGGATTTCACACAACGGGGGTTGAACGGCGTGTCTCTCACTTGCGTGAGAGTGCCGTGGAAGGTGCGGTTTCAGCCCGTTCCCAGCCCACCAGTCCGCCACTCCACACAACACACACACAACGCAACGAACTGCGTGAACCGAGAGCGGGCGTCAATCAGCAACCTTCCTATCCACGACGCTTGACGTGTCGGGATAGTCTCGGACTCAAGTCACCCGTGCAGCCGAAGCCGCATGGGGACCGAGTCGAGATGCACACTTCCCACTTGCGTGGGAGGTGGCAGTTGGGTGCATGAGGTGTGTGAGTGTTGGTTTCTGGTGGGGTGATGGTGGTGGTGGAGGAGGTAGGGAGTGCGTGAATGTGTGGTGTGGCCGGCGGTTGTCTACCGCAGGTCGTTGTGGATGCGCATGTGGCCGAATAGGCTCATGCGATGCCTGAAGGTGCGAGGACAGTGTGGGAAGTTGAGACGAGCTTGGTGGGTATAGGTGGGTGCTCCAGGCACTGGTTCGCCAGTCTCTGTGCGATGGATTCGCAAGTGACCGACCAGGCCGATGCGTGAGGTGAATGTGCGTGGACAGTGTGGGCATGAGAAGTCGGCGGTGTCAGTGTCAGCTACAGAGGAGGCGGTGGTGGTGGTGGTGGTGTCGCGGACGGATGGAACGAGAGTGGGGGTGTGCACGGTGGATGTGTTGGATGTAGTGGGTGTGTCGGGAGTGCGGTCAAGGCCGCTCTCGTGGATGCGCATGTGGCCGAAAAGGCCCATGCGATGCGTGGAGGTGCGAGGGCAGTGTGGGCAGTGGAGGCGAGTGCGGTGGGTGTAGGTTAGTGCTCCAGGCACTGGTTCGCCAGGCTCTGTGCGATGGATTCGCAAGTGACTGACCAGGCCGATGTGTGAGGTGAAAGTACGGTCGCAGTGAGGGCAGGTGTAGTCCTGATCCTCATCCCTGGAGTCGGGGAAGTTGGTGGTAGTGTCGGTTGCTGTGCGTGGGACAGTCGCCTGAGCGGCTGCCGCTGGAGCAGTGGGCGAGGAGGAGGAGGAGGAGGAGGAGGAGGATGAGAAGGAGGAGGAGGAGGATGATGGAAGTGGTGGGTTAGTTGGCGGCGGAGAGGAGGAGGAAGAGGCAGGCGGGGGGACGATGGTTGGTGCCGTTCGAGAGGCGCAGTTAATCCGAAGATGTCCAACAAGTCCGATTCGAGCCCGGAATGTCCGTTGACATCGAGGACACGTTGGAATCGGTTGTGCGGCGGCGTTGCATACTGGGCGAAGTTGTGATTTGCGGGCTTCACGTTTCGCTTTGGCGGCAGCGATGCGGTTGGCTTCGTAGATCGCAGCGCCTGTCTTTACTGTCCTCCTCCAGGTCGGTTGATCGAGTGCGAGCTCCTCCCAGTTGGTGGGGTTGATTTGCAGGCATTTCAGGGAGGACTTCAGGGTATCCTTGTATCGACGAATTGGGCCTCCTTGACGGCGAGAACCCGTCGCGACGTCTCCGTAGAAGAGTCGTTTGGGTAGTCGCTCGTCGTCCATGCGCACCAGGTGGCCGCTCCAGCGCAGCTGAATTTGCCTCAGTATGGCGTAGATGCTGAGGATTCCCGTCCGTTCCAGCATATCAGTGTCGGGGATTCGATCCTGCCACTTCAGCCTCAGGATGCGACGAAGACAACTGAGGTGGAAGTGGTTCAGACGACGTGCCTGCTTTGCGTACACCGTCCAAGTCTCCGCTCCATACAGTAGCGTCGGCAGCATGACGGCCTTGTACATCTTCAGCTTCGTGCTCAGTTGGAGACCATGACGATTCCAAACTGTGTTTTGGAGGCGACCGAAGGCTTGACTGGCTTTCGAGATCCTGTTGGCGACTTCGTCGTCGATCTTGGTGTTGCGGGAGAGAGTACTGCCCAGGTACGGGAAGTTCTCCACCACTTGCAGGTGGATCCCATTCACGCTGATTTGCGGCGGCGCGTTGGAGGCTGTAGCCGAGTTGGGTGGCGGTTGGTGCATCACCACCGTCTTCTGTGTGTTGATGACCAGACCGAAGTTCTCGCAGGCGGCGGAGAACAGGTCCATGCTCCGTTGCATCTCCTCTTCCGAGGTGGTGTTCAGGGCGCAGTCGTCGGCGAAGAGGAGTTCGTGCATGGTGGTTGTGGATACGCGCGATTTGAAGTGCATCCGTCGTTGATTCAGGAGGTGACCGTCCGTCCTGTAGGCGATGCGGATCCCGGGGCGTTCGTCGCGGTAGGCGTCCATCAGCATGGCAGAGGACATAAGACTGAAGAGGGTAGGCGCCAGTACGCAGCCCTGCTTCACTCCATTGGTCACTGCGAATGCCTCTGAGACAGCTCCGTTGTCAGTGACTCGCGCCATCATACCGTCGTGCAGCTGACGCACCATCCGAGTGAATCTCTCCGGACAGCCGAATTTCTGCATGATCTTCCACAGTCCTTCACGATTCACCGTGTCGAAGGCTTTCGTCAGGTCCACGAAGGTAGAGTTCAGGTGGGTCCGCATCTCCTGACACTTCTCCTGAAGTTGACGGGCGGCGAAGATCATATCCGTGGTCCCACGATGATAACGGAAGCCGCATTGGCTTTCCGGCAGAAGGCCCTGTTCCAGATGGTTATTGAGGCGGTTGAGGAGGATTCGTGCGAAGATCTTCCCGGCGATGTTCAGCAGGGAGATGCCGCGGTGATTGTCGCAGACTTGGCGATTCCCTTTGCGCTTGTAGAGATGCACGATGGTTGCGTCTTTGAAATCTTGCGGGACTTCACCTTGACGCCACATCTCTTGGAAGAACGCAGTCAGGTGATCCATCAGTAGGGGACCTCCGTGCTTGTAGACCTCAGCAGGGATTGCGTCCGATCCGGGTGCTTCCCCGCTGGAGAGCTGCTGCACGGCCCTGATCGTTTCCTGGAGAGATGGCGGGAGGTCGAGGTCCACGTTGGTCTTCACTTGCGGCAAGCGCTCGATGGCGGCGGCGGAGATGACGGAGGGGCGGTTGAGGACGCCTCGAAAATGCTCGGCCCATCGCTGCAGGATTTGCGTCTTTTCAGTCAGGAGAGTGTTGCCGTCGGCGCTGAGGAGAGGAGCAGTGCCCTTCGTCGGCGGACCGTAGACAGCTTTGATCGCAGAGAAGAAGTTCTTCCATTCGTTGCGGTCCGCGTACCCTTGGATCTCCTCAGCTTTGCGAGCAGTCCAGGCGTCCTGCATCTGGCGCAGTCGTTGCTGAAGTTGGCGGCGACTGCGGTAGAAGGCAGCTTTGGTGGCATCAGTGGGGTGGTCTACGTAGGCTTTGTGAAGGCGGTTCTTCTCAGCTAGCAGATTTCTGATGGCGGCGTCGTTGTCGTCGAACCAGTCCTGGTGTTGGTGGGGAGCGCGATCGAGGACGGCGAGCGCCGTCGACTGGACCGTGTCTCGCAGTTGACACCAGCGGTTCTCCACGGAGGCGTTCTCGGCAGCGGCGGCGTCGTCGGCGGCAGCGATAGGAAGGTTGTCTAGCCGTTGAGCTAGCTCATTGCTGAAATGGAGATGGTGAGCGGGCAAAGACAACAAGGCAACATTCAGCTTACCTGGGGGTCGCTTACCTGGGGGTCGCTTACCTTGTGGTCTCCTGCGAGGCTGTAGGCGAATACGCATCTTCGAGATGACGAGGCGATGGTCGGTCCACCCGTCAGCATCCGCGATCGCCTTCGTCACCAGCACGTCCCGCTGATCTCGCCTCCGGACGAGGACATAGTCCAGCAGGTGCCACTGGCGCGACCGAGGATGCCTCCAGGTGGCCTTCTCTCGCTCCGGCAGACAGAAGAACGTGTTCGTCAGCATGAGGCGGTTTTCTGCGCAGGTGCGGAGAAGCAGCAGACCATTTTCGTTTGAGCCGCGGAGACCGTGGGGACCCAGCACTCCTCTCCAGGCAGTATGGTCTGTGCCGACGCGGGCGTTGAAGTCGCCAAGGACAATCAACTTGTCCGCCTTCGACACAGTCGCCAAGAAGGCGTGCAGGTCCTCGTAGAATTTGTCTCTGACGGCGTCGGGGTTGGTCATCGTCGGAGCGTAGGTGCTGATGATGGTGGCGAATTTCCCTCCCCAGAGAGGCAGGCGGAGGCTCATCAGGCGATCGTTGATGCCCTGCGGCAAACAGGGCAGTCGTCCCACGATGTCGGTCCGAATGGCGAAGGCGACGCCCGCGTCCCAGCGCTCTGCCCTCGGTCGACCGCTCCAGAAGAAGGTGTAGCCGGCACCCACCTCCTCCAGTTGGCCTTGTTCGGAGAAACGGGTCTCGCTGAGTGCGGCGATGTCCACCTTGTAGCGCGCCAGTTCTCGTGCCACTAGCGCCGTCCTCCGCTCCGGTCGGTTGCTCCGCGGATTGTCTAAAAGGGAACGAACATTCCAGGCTGCCAGAGTGAGCGCGCTCACCCTGCCAGTCTGGTGACAACGAGTGGGGCGACGGGAAGGAGATGGAGAAGAAGATGACGAAGGAGAAGAATAGGCAGAAGAATAGACGGAGGTAGAGGAAGAAGAGGTAGGATGAGGAGAATGAGTATGGTTGTTGTTGTTGTTATTGGTATTGTTGTTGTTTCGATTTTGATTGTTTCGACCATGTTTAGACGTCTGCGGCCCTGGCTAGCCTGGAGACGGCGTGGTACCCAGCAATGTTTAGGCCACCTTTTCTAGGCCCTTCCCCTCGTGGGGGCTGGCAGTGCCATCCCTGAATAGGGCTGCCATGTGCCGTTGTGGCACGGCCGAACTCCACTATGGGACCACGACTTCGGGTTGTAGTGGAGAGCGACTCGAATTCGCCGTAAGCCGCGGTCTCCGTCGGAGAAGTTGGGCGCGTCAAGGCGATGTCGATTTGGAGATCCATCCCGTCACCGGCTGTCGAGCGACGTGCAGAGACGAACCACGTCACGACGGTGCCGACGCAAGGTTCCATCCGACCTTCCATCCAGCGGAATCTGCAAACCCTGTGCACACGGCACAGCGCACAGGGCCCCCTCACCTGGTTTAGCCCGCCGGTCGAGACGGTTGCCCGGGGTGTGGCCGCTGAGCAGAGCCCAGCTACGTGGAGCCACAGGTGAGAGTTGAGTGCCAGCAAGTGGACGCTAGGCGCAGTGTCACCTGCAAGCAAGTGAGCGACCACCACGACCATTACGTTAACCCACCGCTGACACCCCTACACCCCAGCAATGACATATGATGACTGCATGACAACCCGTTATTTGCTTCTGGGAGGCCATTTTAGTTTACCGTGCATCCGTACTGACCCCTTCCCAGTTTGCGAAAAGCACAAACAATATTAACTGAGTTGAAAACTTCTAGTTAATCGAGAGACATACGTGTGTGGCCTACTTCTGGCATCAGACATCTGGTTGGCTCAGGAAGTGGACTTGTGACTGGGGGTGGGAGGCGAGAACAAGGTCGACGGTCTCGGCGCATTATCCTCATTATAGGCAATGTGACGCGCTTGAAGCTATCACTGTTCGCCAAGGGCTGAGAGTTGGAAGACTGCCAACTGACGGGATACCTCTAACCCCACAGTCGTTCTGGTGTGTGTTTGAGTGAATTGGTCGACTGGCCAATGCAGTGCCAGACTGCAAATGCTCCTTAATGTGGCCTCAACGAGGTTCGAGTCGTCCCCAACACTAGTCGTTCAGTGTTCGTTGTGGACAGCGGGATATGTTGGTAAGCCTAGTTGCGGGTTTTCACCATGGCAGTCACCTGCGCCTTCATCCACCACCCGTCTCTCTCCTTGCCGTGACACGGGGCCTAGGTGATGAGGACGAGAGATTTGATGAAGAAGGAGGCACGATCACTGGCCAAGAGCTTTATTAGCCTGACGTTTCGGTTTCCGGCTAGAACCAATCACCAGGAGAAGAGAGTACGATAGATGCTGAGCAATTTTACTGCTCCCACAAAGTAAATGAGTGCGAGTTACCATCCCCGTCCTCACCCTGCTGTGTGCATCTCCGGTCACGACGGTCGAAGTGTCTTACAACAGGACATCCACACTACTCACAACACCCCTAAGATTTTGTAGATCCATAATGCGTTTTGGTTTCTGATATTACCAGTCAAACAACATGCGTGCGAATCATTTTAATTTTCATAAAAATGGATCGATTTCTCGAAATAACGTTTTTTATTTTCGGTCCGAAAGCATACTTGGATAACAAAGCTAATGTCAGGAATAAATGCGTAAAACAAACAGGCTACTGATTTATAACCGGTAGTATTCATTTATTGATTTATTTGTCGTGTGAGACGGGAAATAAAACGAAAGCCGAACATGCGTTTTGTCGGTAGTATGCCGTTGCATGACATGGCTAAGAAGAGTTCAGTTAGTAAGAATACCGGGGGACCCATTAAAGATCCGAACTTCAGTTACTGCACCATCCAGCGTCACAATATTTGCACAACACCTCTCTGGCCGCCTTGCAAGTTGAGGTTCTGGGATTATGGCGAATCAATCAACATTCATAAAACATTTCCCTAAGGGGTAAGTAAATTCACATTTATAAGTTTTGGTGATCATGTTTAGAGTGTTTATCAGGTGGACACGGGCCAAGTATCTCCCGGTATGTCAGGTGGCCGTAGAGCAAATTTCAGGATGATACCTATTCCCATTTGAAGCCCATAAGAAGCCTCCTAACTCCAACAATTTTTGCTCGATTACTTCCTATAAGGACGGCACTCATTCCCACACCCCACCTGTCCCCTTCGAATACTGGAAACTTTCATTCACATCCACATGTCAGCCTACAAACAGACGTCAAAGTGTAGAACTGAGCGCCGGACCTGTGTCCGTTTGTGACGTTATCTTTTCTCAAATGCCTTCTGCAAACTTGGCAGTGCCTTTGGTTTGTCGTTATTACCGTTTAATAATGTTGAGTTTGCTGGAGTAGTTTAAACAGACTTCGTCCGCCGGATCCAAAACACGGTACGACGTCTGCATCTCGGCTCTTGCTTTCCTCTCTCACAACATTACTTCGCTTCATTTGACGAGACGTTGTTCTAAAAACAGCATCTTCGGCATCTTTGTGTGAGTGCTCCGATAGACGTAATTTCATAACACAAGCGACAATTGCAGTTTGTAAGTCCGCAATGTAGATGCATCTCCCAATTAAACCATAGAAGAATGTCAGACTTAGTGCGTATTTCAAATGCCATCTGAGGCCACATATGGTCACGCATAGGCCGACACATGATGCCGTTAAACCCTGGAAACTGACATTATCCCCTAAAAAGGGCATTTTCGACTGCACACTAGGCCAAAGGAGGTTAAGCGATCCAACTAAAGGCAAGACATTTCATAAAAAACGTCCCAGTTTTGAGATGTTCTGCATTAGGTAACTCCTATTGAAGGCATCATGATGGACACAGATGCCCTGTTTTGACACACAAAAAGCGCACCAACGCGCCCTCTCAGGAAATGCATAAGACCCTACAAAGTCACCATTTCTGGGACCAAACTTGTGACACCTTTTGAACCAATCATTTGGGAAATGTCTGTGTGCAGCTGTCAGGTTTACGGTATCAAAAACAGTCTGTTCAAAGTAGACGAACTCTCACCGTTCTCAGGCCGTATCTCCCTGTTTGACTGGAATAGAGTTCAACGAACTTCTTTTTCATTTTTTTCCCTATTTTGAGGCCATACTAACCCCCGAATGATTTAACAATGTTCACTCAAATTCCAATCCGCGATGTATCACGGGAACCACAAAAACGACAATCTTGGACGAGATGTCGAAAAAAATCCATTTAAGTGAGAGGAATTTTTCATTCGCCATCTTGCAACCGACTGCTATCCCCTCCGAAGGGCATCTTTGACTGCGCGCTAGGCGATCAAACAGAAGATAAACCATTTAATAAACGAAAATCCCAGTATTGAGATTTTCTGCATTAGGTAACTCCAGTTGTAGGCATCATGAAGGACACATGCGCCCTGTTTCGACGTCCAGAGAGCGCGGCACCGTGCATTAGACCCTGCGCAAGTTACCTTTTCTGAGACCAAATTTGTGCCATCTTTTGAACCATTCATTTGGGGAATGTCTGAATACACCAGTCAGGGGGGTGAGAATGCTTAAACAGTCTGTTCAAAGTGGATAAACGTCTTAGAATTCTTGGCAGAAAAGGCGTTCGGTTACCTCCGAAGGTAGCATTAGATCAAAAATATCAGTAGGTCATTGCCAATAGAAGCGAAGAGACGAGTCCCAGGAAGCAGGCTAGAAGGAGAAACGATCGTTGGGACAAGAGCTTTACAAGCCTGACGTTTCGGATCCCTGCTCTAAGCCATCATCAGAGACAAAAGCAAATACCTGGAGCAGATCGTGTCTCCTTCTTCATTTTGGGCAGACCGATATAAAGCCGAAAACGGACACTTTTCTGTCACCTTGTCACCCGCCGAAACCTCTGCAGTTATCTACAAAATAAATTGCAAAGAGGGCGACTGCAACTATGTGGGAGAAACCGGGCGGAAATTGCAGACTCGCCTACAAGAGCACAAATCAGCTACTCGGAGGTTGGACCCAAATTCTCAATTAGCAACACACGTTGGAGAAACTGGGCATACTTTCGATCTCCAGCGAGCTACCATCTTGGGCCGGGGCAACACAAAAGCAGAACGGCTAACTCTTGAGGCGTGGTTCTCCGATGCCCACTCCATAAACAGGCATCTGGACCTTCCTGCAGCCTACAAAGTCCTACGTCATCACAATCGTAGAGATCAGGACCAAACAACCACACCGGGCTTAAGGAGGCCATACGGAGACAGCCCGACGGCGTGTTTACTCGGTGAAGAAGAAGAAGAACCGCCAGACCGCCCACCCGACACTGGTTCGGTCACCTCCCCCCCGGCAGAATGGTGACTCACACTGCACGCAGCCAAAACACCAGTCAACCATCCCCTGATAGGCCGCGACAGCGAGAGGAGAGAGAGAGAGAGAGAGAAAAAAAAAAAAATCGACCAGCAGGAGGCCGTCCAACGTGACACGCCACTTGGGATCTCTGGTGGATTGAGTGCATTTTACGCTTTGACAATGGAGAGCCGACCAAGCTCTTCGAAACGTCAGCATCCTAATAAACCTGTTCCGGTGAGCCCACCTTCTTCTTCTTCTTCTTCAAGTACAAAGTTTGATTTGGTTTCATGTGGCCACCTGCAGTCTCTGTGACGCATTTACGTTCATGGGTTCCTTAGAATGCAACAACTTGAACGTCAAGACCGTATGACAGCCTTATTCACAAATGTGTGTTTAACGTAAATCGTGAATGGCTTTACCCACTTCTACAAAAGCAAGAACCGGATAGCGGACAAACATAATGGTTTCGAACAAACTCAAACATTGGTATTCCAACTAAATAGACGTTTCTGTAGACTAACGGACAACCTTTCTTTTGGCCAACTTCAAGACCAATCCAACAGGAGGCGTTAGAGGATAATTTAGTTACTCACTTTAATCCACATATGCCGTCGTGATGACAGATCTGTTCACAGCACATTTGCTGTCTGCAAGGTGATGTTTGACTTCAGCGGATTATCGCGCAGTCCTTTCATATCCCTACCCTCGAAGATGGAAGAAGCACTTACGTTAATGAGTGTTTAAACAAAACGGATGAGCAGTAGCATCCTTCAAAATCAGGACCACCCGACACAGGAGGCGATCGAGGCAGCATACTAATATACACATCTTCGCTTTGACTAGCCACAAATGCAAAGGGAATTAGTTCTTCGAATGCCTTAAAATAGGGGTTGCCTAAAATAGGAACTCGTTTGCGCGAGAGGGCTTATTTGTCACACATAACCTTATTCAGCGCCCATGAACAAAAATGACAATTAGACTGTCCTTTAGAAGATATGCATATACCTTGCCCCTGGGACGACCATTATCCACACGATCGGCTTAAAATTTTCGTTTCTCAGTATAAGCTCTCTTTGACATGTTCTGTCCTTTGGGCCAGAAAAAGAAGGTTCATATTTTTATGGTAACAATTGTGTGTGCCTCTATACAGGCGGAGACTGCTGTGATTGTCCTGTGAAACGAGCCATGCGGTAGATGTGTTGGACCAACACGGGAGTGAGATCGGGGTTTGGCAGGCGTTACTAAAAATACGCAACTAACAACCGATGTCAGCATTTGGGGTATGGCAGCATGCCAAGTTGCTGGCACGCGCCACGCAAGTCGAGATTTTACTTGGGAGGGGGTGGGCTGTGGCAGCAAGCTAGCTTTAGTTCGTGCGAAGAAGTTTGACCGATTGTACATTATGAAACAGGCAGTACTTCGGTACGTTTAGGTGCCAGTTTTCATTCTGCCCTCCACCTGCGCCCTCTGCCGGCTCCAGTCCTTTTGAACTTGTCACGACGCCTAGTAGAGGTAAGGGAGAAGAAGGAAGTGCAGTAGGTGCTAAGCAAGTTTACCATCCGTATTAAATAATCTACGTGTAATTCATTTTTCCCCTCGACAATCATCGACAACGACGGTCGAAACGTCTATGTTACTGGGAGTAGTTTAGTCACACACACACATCAGGAACTTTGGCGCTGCTCAAGCAATCTCTCCCAATTTGGCTGGAATAGAGTCGGGCGAACGTCGTTTTCATTTTTTTCCTACCACAGTTCGTCTACCGAGCCACTGTTTTGAGGGTATACTAGCCTCCGAATTATTTATCTATGGTCACTCAATTTCCAATCCGCGATGTATAACGGGGAACGCAAAAGCGACGACCTTCTAGATGTCGAAACAAATCCATTTAAGTGAGAAACATTTTTCATTCGCCTTCTTGCAATTCCATCGACAACCTAGCCTAATGAGTTATGTTCTAGCCGTGACGCTTAACTAGCGGTCTGGTTTACAATTCTCCGCAATCAAACCCCCAAAGAAGAACTCAACAGCAAGGGGTGAAGAACACTCGTGTATCGCTGAGCTCCTACCAGCAAAATCTACTGACAAAGGGTAGGTACAGAACGTCCAAGGGCGGTCTGGAAGTCAGCCAATCAGATCATGCCCTTGACTTATTAGCATGTGGACTGCTGACCCTTCAGAGTGGCTGGACGCCCCTCCAATCCTGATGGTGGCTGGCGCGATCTCAACACGCCTACGGTGTGTTGGCGGATCGAGAATACAGCATGTGCGCGCGTCGTAAGAGCAGCATGCCAATGGGTCGGTTAGGACTTCCCCTCCCGACAGCCAGCCCTCTCCTTATGATTGCTAACGCAATGCCGATATTACTCATTACCCCCTGCATTTGTTCAGTTCAGTTCAGTTTATTTGAGAAAAATATAGGTGTCGAAACTTTAAACTCCCTATTTATTACAAGGAAGCGAACTGCATCAAAAATTTGAAAATGGAAACATTAAACAGCTACAGAGTTTCTTCAGATTGACAAAGTTTTCGAAACCAGACAGATAAAAGAATTGTTCCGAGTGTTAAAAACATTAACGCTACTAAATCTGCTGTAGCGTAGTCTGTCTATGGAAAATTGGTACTATCGCACTTTCTGAGGGAGACGAAGTAAACGCCAACACCCATATTCAACAGACATGGGACAATAATAAAACGCAAAAGTTACTGAAAAACCGGCAGTAATATAACAATATTAACTAAATGTTCGAACGAAATCTTAAGACGAGGTCGATCAGGTGATATTATGACGTTAAGTGGTACACTGGCCCAACTTGCGCTTAAAAGCATTGGCGTAGGTATACATGACGACATCTGCAGGGAGAGTATTTCAAGCCTCGACTATTCTGTTTGAAAAGAACTTCCAAATGTCCAGCTTGGCGCCAGTCACACGTAGTTAAAGTGGATGACCTCGGAGGTTCATCGTGGTTGTTAACTCGAAGAAATCTGCAGGTAAGAGCCAGCCGTCCTAGCCGCGCATTATAAGGAATTTTTGTATACGGTCGCCCCTTAGATGTCTGTAACTCTGTGAAAAACTGAAAACCTCGCTAAAAGTTTCCATAGTCGCGGTTGCTGCCGATAATATCACAGTAAGGAAGGTGGAAATACATATATATATATATATATATATATATATATATATCAGGAATCGACGCACACCGATCTATTGGCTTCACAGAGCAAACAAGCTCCGTATTTGTGGCAAAGGTCACGAACAGGCAACCAATTACCAGGCCGAAGTCGGCCAAGTCATAATAGCAGCGAGGAGGGGCGACAGAGAATGCGGGTAGATTGATACAGCACTGTTTCGGGATTATTCTGCCTTCATTCAGCCAATCATAACCCTGACCACCAGCAGCTGCGACCAGAAACACAAGCATGCGCACAGACGCACCTGGCGCAGTCGGTCCACCACTGAGGCCTACCAGATGGGTCATAAGCACTTCATCGAACCGAAATTCATCAGTGCCTTGCCACCTGTCATTCTCTGTCGCTGCAGATCGGGTATTTATCAATCAGGAATGGGCGCACACCGATCTATTGGCTTCACAATGCAAAGAAGCTCCGTATGTGTGGCAAAGGTCACGAACAGGCAACCAATTACCAGGCCGAAGTCGGCCAAGTCATAATAGCAGCGAGGAGGGACGACAGAGAATGCGGGTAGATTGATACAGCACGGTTTCGGTTCGATGAAGTGCTTATGACCCATCTGGTAGGCCTCACTGGTGGACCGACTGCGCAAGGTGCGTCTGTGCGCATGTTTGTGTTTCTGGTCTCAGCTGCTGGTGGTCAGGGTTATGATTAACTGAATGAAGGCAGAATAAGCCCGAAACAGTGCTGTATCAATCTACCCGCATTCTCTGTCGCCCCTCCTCGCTGCTATATATATATATATATATATATCTCAAGGTCTGGTACCGCCTTGTCGATTGTGAAGGATAACGGCGCCAAGTATACATCATCAATGTTCCTAAAATTGTGCCAGGAACGGGAGATCCGATAGGGGAAACCAACACTATTCCGCTCCTAATCCAACGGTCATGCAGAACGTTTAAGTGATACGTTCGAGAAAGCAATGAAAAAGATGTATGACGGAGGTCCTAAATTGGAATGGCCTTCCAGAAAGCGTTGGACGCTAGATAACACCGTAGACTGTTATACAAGCCCAAAATATAGGCGTCAGATGTAACTACCTCAACTTGATCGAAACGTCCTTCTGGGACGACAGTAAGTTGTATGCATTGGTCGTGAAAAGTCAGATCCTACTGTGGTTGACAGTGGTCTTCCCCAGGGTCCAGCACTGAGTTTAACTTTGTACCTAATAAACGTTGACGATTGCGCAGGAGCTCTTGTCTGCGAAGCAGTAGTGCATGTTGACACAAAAATATAAAACACGAAAATATCCGGGGCCCTCTCGACAACGAAAAAATGATGGTGAGCGTAAAACGG